CTTCCAGACAGCAAGCTTGGCACGAAATTTATTTAGAACTAGCTCCCATAACTTCTTGTTCCCAGATTTACCATCAACGGGCAATCCCAAATAAAGGAAAGGTGCTCGGCCAACCCCACAATGTAACATTCCCGCTGATCCTCTTAGCCATTTCTCCGACACATTATACCCAAAGACACTGCTCTTTCTAAAATTTATCCTCAAGCCTGACATAAGCTCAAACCATTTTAAGACGTCCTTCACCATACGTATGTTCTCAGCGTCCGCTCTACCCATAATAATTGTATCGTCTGCGAACTGGAGTAAAGACATGGTCATCCCTTGCTTTCCAATCTCAATCCCATGTAACATTCCCTCCGTTACTGCTCTCTGTACTAAACCTTGTAACCCCTCTGAAATCAACAAAAAGAGAAAAGGAGATAAAGGATCACCTTGACGTAATCCTTTACCTACCTCAAATTCCCTTGTCGGGCTCCCATTTACTAGAACCGAAATTCTTGCGGTTGAAAGACATTCCGTAATCCAACCTCTCCATTTCGTTCCAAAACCACATCTCTCCAACATCCAATCCAAGAAGGACCAATCTACGCAATCGTATGCCTTTTCAAAATCTGCCTTAAACACAAAAGCTGGCTTTTTCCTCTTCTTAACCTCATCCACTACTTCATTCAACACCAAAACACTATCCACCAACTGACGACCCCCCACAAAAGCAGATTGGGTGTCATTCACTATTTCTGATATCACAGATTTCAATCTATTAGCCAGCACCTTCGCTAATAATTTGTAGACACAGCCAATCAAGCTAATGGGTCTAAAGTCCTTTAGTTCGACAGCATTCAATTTCTTAGGAATTAAAGCTATAAAAGAAGAGTTCAGTCCCCTCACCAATTTACCATTCCGATGGAATTCAGAGAAAAAATTGATGAAGTCCTCCTTTATGCAGTGCCACGCAAATTTTAGAAAGTTGAAGTTGAACCCATCCGGCCCCGGTGCCTTTGAACCATCACAGCTCCTCAAGCCTTCCTCTATTTCTTCAACCGAAAATGGTCTTTCAAGCCATTCTTTTTTCTCCTCCGAGATCTGCTGAAATTTAAGATCCGCAGGCTTGGGTCTATTCCATGAATCTCCTTGAAACAACTTTCTAAAATATTTGGCACTCTCATTTTTAACTGCATCTGGCTCTTCACACCACACCCCCTCGCACATTAAGCCTGCTATATTATTGTGCGCCCTTCTCCCGATAGCCACTATATGGAAGAAGCGGGTATTCGCATCACCCTCACGCACCCATTTATTCCTTGACTTCTGCTTCCAGATAAGTTCCCTCTTTCTTATACAGTCCCACATCTCAGAGAAGCCTTCTTGCCTTTTAACTATCTCAGCTTCTTCTAAATCTGATACCTCATTCTGCATGTCAACCTGCTCTACCTTTTTCACGGCCTGCCCATACAGAGCTTCCATGTTCCCAAATACTTCCTTGTTCCATCCCTTTAAAACTCCTTTAACAGCTTTAGCTTTTGCTGGCATTTATACCCTGCAAACCCCTCCACCTCCATCTCGCTCCATTTTTCTTCAACAACCTTTTTGAAATCTGGGTGTTGTTGCCATGCATCCAGCACCCGAAAAGGCCTTGGACCCCAATATGTTGTTTTGGACTTCAACACAACAGCACAGTGATCAGAGATATTTCTTGGCAATGCTTGTTATATCCACTCTCCTTCCATGTTACTCATCTCAGTACTTAACAGGAACCTGTCCAATCTGCTTCTTGCTGTACCATCTGGTTTATACCAAGTATACCTTCTATTTGTCAATTTAACATCCACCAAATCTGTTGCCACAATGAACTCATCAAAGTCCTTCATGCCCGGACTCTCCTTTAATTTTCCTCATCTCTCCTCAGGGCCTCTAACAGCATTAAAGTCCCCTGCTATCAACCAATGTCCTTCCTTGTCTGTTTTCATCTTCCTTAGTTCCTCCCACAACTTAGCCCTCTTTTGTCTATCATTTGGGCCATACACATTAATAAGAAAACATTGTTGTTTATTTACTCCCCATTCCCCTGATAATCCCACAAAACCGTCACCAATTAGCTCTTCCTTCTTAACAAAGTGCCTCCTATCCCATATACACAGTAAACCCCCTAAAGCTCCAGAAGAGTCCTTCACAACCCACTCAAACTCATCAGAATTCCACAACTGGCTACAAGTAACTACATCCATCCTTTCTAATTTTGTTTCCTGCAAGAACAAGAAATTGGGCCTCTCTTCTTTAACTAGCTTTTTCACCTCCTTCCTTTTCAATGTCCCACCCAAACCCCTTACGTTAAAAGATATAATCTTCATAATCGCTTCTAATCACACACCACCTCTAATCACCTCCAGCCTTACCTCCTCGACTCGTCCCTTCGTCCTTCTACATCCCGTTCCTCTGTCTCCAATAGTTTAGATTGTATCTCCTCCTCATTATTATTAAATTGAAAACCCAACCTCTTCCCCACCTTCATCATCTGACACACCTCCATTAGATTCATCTCTCTCTGCAACACCCTATTTCTATTTTCAATGCACTCATCCGAAATAGACACAGAACCAGCAGTGCGTACCTTGTCATCCCCAGCCTGTCTAGCGCCCACTCTCCTTGACTGTCTTTGCTTTGTTCTGGGTGTCACCCACGGTGTCCCTTTCGCCCAGATCTCCTCCATGATTTCTGGGTAGCACTCTTGAAGGGGCCTTTGTTTTTTCCTTTCTGATTTTTTCCCCGATTTCTGCAGTGCCGATGTATCCCCTGTTCCTTTCTTATTTAAACCCATGCTTATTTCCTTCGGCTGCCCCTGGTCCATCCTTTCAGCAGGCCCACCGATACTTTCTGGCCCAACCAACTTCAGCCTTTGAGGCCCATTGTTTTGAGTAAGCCCGTACCCATCAATCCCCTCCAAAACCGTCCCTGTTTCAATTTGTCCACAGCTTTCATTTATCGCTAACGGCTTCGAATTTGAATTTACATCCAAATCCTTCATTAATTGCTCTGAATCAGTACTCATATCCTCGCCGCCGCAAATCCCGTCCGTATCCAACTTAGGATCCTCATTCTTACTCCACGCTATTGAATATTCAGACTCCGTTTCTCGGTCACTTTTCCGGTCATTCTCCGACAACCACCAATCCGGATCAGAGCGCCACTCCTCTTCGACTATCTCTATCTCATGCACCTGCTCTCCCGCTCTCAGCTTTGTTCGTTTTGATATCTTGCTAGAATCTGAGCATAAAATCAAAACTCTCCCATCCCATAATATTGATTTCTTCTTTGTATCATCATGAATCATTAATACTTCTCCTATTGTCTCACCTATCATTCGGAAACACCTCTCACTCCATGCCTTAAGAGGCACTCCCGCTATTCGCAACCACACCATTCTACTTTTCTCCTCTGATGCCTTCTCCCACGGTTTTAACAACTTAAACCACAATCCAAACAACTCCTCATTAATCTTCATATACTCAGCTAAGTACCCTTTAACTCTTTCAGTTAATAACATACTTTTTCCCCCGATTGGTACTAATGAGATTGAGCCTCCATCAACATCCAATTGCTTTTGAATCTCTGATACCGAAGCCATTGATCTCACCTCTGCCACCATGCCACCCTCAAGCCATTGCATCTCCTCACCTGTTGGGATAAATTCGATAATCTCCTCTCCTTTTTCCAATACCTTTTTCTCCTGGGCCCTTTTTGATACATCTTCCTTATCTGGAGTTGCTTCTTCATCCCTTTCCTGTAGATTAACCGGTGCCTTTTCTGTCCTCTTTCCCTGTCCCTTCACTACTTGTGCATATGAGCGCCCTGGTTGGATCAACCTATCCATGTTATTCGTTGATCCCCTATCCTTTACTTCCCCTTGTAGCTTCTTGGACATTGATGATTTCCTTTGCCGATCATTTGCGATCTTCACTCTGATCTTGTACAAGCCAATCCAGATCCCGTTTAGCTTCCTTTCCATCTGCATCTCATTATTAACCCCTGTTAGCCTCACAAACCCAAACCTCTTCCCTCGCTTGTCACGTTTTCTCGGAAGATACACATCCACAACCTTACCATACATCTGAAAACAGTTCCATAAAAATTTTGCCTCCAATTCCTCTGGGAAATTATAAAAGAAAAAAGTCGTTGTCCAACCGAAAAACTGTTTACTGTAACCTGCCTTGCTGTTCCTGTGCCCTTGCCGCTGTTTGTAACCTTGCCGCTGTCTGTGGCCATCGTCTTTCCCAGCTGCCGCTCCCCTTGCTGAAACCTGCGTACTCTCCATCCTTTTTTTTTGGTCGACGATAATACAATTAGGTTTTTTTTCCTCTAAATTAAAGATATAATCATATAAATACAATTTATAAAACAATAAGTTTAAAGTAAAATAAAAATACTGTAACATTTTTATAGGATATCTCACACATAATAAAGCTAAAGTCCCCACCACCCCGGTAACAATTTTTTTTTAACCAAAGTCTATAGGTGATATATCACACACCAAAAAAATGTGGCACTCACCTCCCAGCCCACTACCACAAAAACAAGCAGCAGCAGCTTAGCATCAGTAATTAGTAATACGACTCCTATACGCAATCGCTAGAGATTACTAGAGATTAGAGATAGACACCAATTATTAGAGATTACATATGTAATTGTTATAAGAAGCAAAAAGACCTAAGAGAACTATTTAATTGTGCATTCAAAACTTATGAGAAGCCTCATTAATTTGATATTCAATTTCATTGTTAGAGCTTCTTTTTTCTTCTGTTACTAGAGGTATTACACTTTGTTTTTGTTAACGTAATTATAACTTCGCTTTTGTTTGATTGTTCTATTTATAAAATTAAAGTATTTTTATTTAGTTGTCACATTTTTTCTATTTTCAAAATACATCAGATACTATTTTTTAAACCTAGAATTGCATATTACTCTTATCATTTATACTATAATAGAAAAGCTTTTACCAGGGATAAATGAGGCATTCCAACTCCTAATCATTGTATTTTTATGGGTTTTTTTTTTAATGTTAAAAATGCATTTATTTGCATTAATTAACATGAAAAAAATTAAAAGTTAATATTAATTTTAACATTTGTCTTATTATATTTATCCAAGTGACATCAATGTTAAAATTAATATTAACTCTAATATTTTTCTATGTAAATTAATACTAAAAATATATAATAAATA